AGTCAAGTTACAAGACGTTAATCTATGAGCAGGTGCAATCCGAATACGTACTTCCTAGACAATAAATAGCATGTTTTATTCATTACTATTATCCTTGTTATTTGTTTTGCAAGGTGTAAAGTATTCCACTGACTTCTACTCTTGATTCCACCAACTCTAGATCCTAACCACCATAAACACGTGGTTTAGTTCAATACACCCTGCATATAACGCCAGTGAGTGCTTTATCTCGGCGGGTGTTATGTACGGGGAATGGCGATACATGAGTTTGCTGAGTATAGGTCATGCCCGATTTGGTTCCTAAGCATCCTAGACTCAAGGAGGAGGTTGTAAGGCCACTTAAGTTTCTTAGAGAACTTTAACATGGTATCAAAGCAGAGGGTGATGGTGCATATTCGTTTGCACGTCATCCTGTCGTCAGTTCGATCATTTCGTTTGCATGTGTTTCGTGTGCTACATTGTTTGTGTGGTTTGTTAGGTTTGCATGTCTTTGCATGTTCATCGCAGGACCTGGAACCAGCGGGGTCGTGGTGGCACTGGTGCAAGAGGAAGAGTTTGTCATTCCAACAATGGCAACAATGAACCGCGCTTGAGGGGAGAGTGCTGGTATTGCAAGGAAGAAGGGCATCCATGGTTTCGTTGCTCTACCAAGCCCGACGGGTGGACCCCTTGGAACCAACTGCAAAACGGGAATGGAGGAAAGCGACCACATGGAGGTGCCAACATGGTAGCTGATCCTGCTGAAGAATGTTGGTTAGAGAAGGCTATAAGCAGATGATTCAATGGCTCCTTGGAAATTTCTGCAGCACTTCGTTATGACGCCCAGAAAACTCGCAACCTTCGAAAAGCAATATCCAAAACTCCAATCGGTGAAACGATATGCAAATCGGATATGTTGTAGCTTGCAGCGTCAGATTTCCACTGAAAGTTTAATCACTCGATTCCGTAGCTTAACGAGTGAGCTATGGCGTTTGGCGCACTGGGGGGTAATCTGCCCTAGGAGATATTGACAGTTTTCAGAATCACAATGATTGTAGCTTACAAGTTCAAAGGCATGATAGAAAAGGCATTGAAGCACAGTTGGAAGGTGGGGATGGAAGGGAAGGATGAAAGGGAAGGACCCTGGAGGCCCATGGTAAAGAACATAACAAGAGTCAAAGTCTTGACTCCCCATCCTCAGGTTCAACCAGCCTGGCAAGACAAAATTCACATTGTGCCAGGTTGGCCTCCAACCCCCAAATGCTGCAGCTGCAAGGTGAGGACAAAAGTCCCACACATGCTGGTCCCTCCTCGTGATAGGGTTCTCCAACTTTGGTGTAGCAGCTGCCAAGGACTTCCAATGAGTTGCAACAAATCAACCAAACATTTCCTCGTAACTTCTTCATATGTGTTCTGATTCCAACAATTCTTGGCTCATTGGAATGTGCTCGATGTCATGCACAATCCAAGCACCTCTGCACAAACAAAAGATGAACATGCAAAGACATGCACACCCAACAAACCACACAAACAACGTAGCACACAAAACACATGCAACGAAATGATGCGAACAGACGACAGGATGACGTGCAAACGAATATGCACCAACACACTCCCCCTCAAACTGTCGGCTTGTTTCGCCGTCTCCAGTTCAAGGACATTTCCGCCATCCTTGCACAGCGCCAATGTGGCTCTTTAGCTAGCCGCTTGGTAAGGAAGTCGGCTGGCTGTTGCTGAGTTTTCACGTAGATCGGATCCAGTGTCCCAAGCTTCACCTCCTTCCGCAGCCAATGCCACTTGATCCTCATGTGCTTGTTCAACCCATGAAGAACTGCATTGCGTGCCATGGCAATAGCTCCCTTGCTGTCACTGAACAGAGGTGTCGCACAAGTCTGTTCATGGCCGATCTCCTTCAAGAACAACCTTAGTCAGATGATTTCCTTTGCCGCATGAAACATCGCCATGTACTCAGATTCCACTGAAGAAAGTGCCGTCTGAAACTGCTTCTTGGACCTCCAACTTACAGGCCAACCTCCCACCATGGAGATGTATCCACCTACTGATGATGAATTCTCATGTTCAGAAGCCCATGTGGCATCTGCAAAACAGGAAAGGAACACCTTTCCTTCTCCGAGCTCCTCCCCCTTCTCTTTGAGGACTTCAACTCCTTTCTGACTGAGTTGAGCAGAGGCTGAATACTGTACTCCCACTATAAGGTATGACTTGAGGTAGCGCACCACTCTCTCCGCTGCACCACACTGCTCTTCAATTGGATTTTGCACTACTCGAGCCAGCTGTCCCACAGCAAAGCTGATGTCAGGCCGAGTATGCACAGCAGCATAGAGTAGGCTCCCGACCATAGATTGGAATTGCCTCTGGTCTTCACTCTCAACTCCTTCTCCTTCAGCTGCCTTTATGAGTTTGAACTCGGAAGGCAAAGGTGTGACCACTTCCCGTTCTTCCTGCAGAGAGTACTTCTCAGCCAAGGTATTGATGTACTGTCCCTGATGCAGTTTGAGCCAGCCACGTTCAGTATCCTGCTCAATGTGCATTCCCAGGTAGTACCTTGCCTCTCCAAGTGACTTGCACTTAACTGCTCTGTGAGCTTCTGCTGCACCCCATCGATCTCCTTGTCACTGCTGCTGAAGAGCAGGATGTCATCCACGTACACCAGCAGAAGCACAAGCGACTCCCCCTCGCCCATCAGGAATAGGCTCTCGTCGCATGCACTCGCACGGAATCCAATCCCTTCCAGTGCACTGGCCAGCCTGTTGTACCAGCATCTCGGGGCCTGCTTCAAGCCATAGATGGCCTTGTTGAGTTTGCAGACACGACCGATTCCATCCTCATAGCCAGGTGGTTGAACCATGTACACCTCCTCTTCCACAATGCCGTACAGAAAAGCGGTTACGATGTCCATCTGCTTCACCTTCCATTTGCGCACAGCAGCTACCGCCAGCAGCACACGTAGCGTTGGAGACTTAGCAGTTGCGGAAAACACTTCTTTGTAATCTTCCTTCTCTTTCTGCTGAAACCCCTTCGCCACCAGCCTGCTCTTGTAAACTGATGGCTCTCCTTTCTCATCCGTCTTGATTTTTGCCAGCCACTTGCACTGTATTGCCTTCTTTCCATTTGGCAAGTGCACCAGGTCCCATGTGTGATTCTCCATCTGGCTCTTGTACTCTGCATTTTTTGAAACGAGCCACTTCCCCCGTTGAGGCCCGGCTAGTGCATGATCCATGCTCGGAGGTTGTATTGGTGCGTAAAAGTAGTATGCAGGCTCCTCGTCATCTGACTCTTGGTCATCACCCAAGAACAGCACTGCATCTTCGCCTTGAGCCTTTTCCTGCTGCTCAGTTGTGGCTCCTCCACTTGTAGAGCTCAGCAGCTTTCTTGTTGCCATTCTGGTACGTGCAGGGTAGATGGTTGGATTTACCCATTCTTTCACCTTCACCCAATCCTTTGTCCCCCCACCAATCTGTTTCCTTCGCTTTGGCAGACTTGGTGTTTTGGAAAGCTCTTGCTGCTGCTGCTCCGGATCCTTGACTTTAGCATCAGCTGCAATATCCTCATTGCTTCCTTCATCAGTACCGCTTGCCGTTGGCGCAGTGACTTCGCTGTCCTCAGGTTCGGACACATCGAAGTGCATAGTGATCTCTTCCAGCTGCTGAGTGACCCTTGCCTCCGGCTGCTTCTCCCACTTGCCATACATGATGTTCTCCACAAATTTGACATCCCGACTGTCAAACAGCACATTCTTTGAGGGCTCCCAGAGTAGCCACCCCTTGCTCTCTGCCGTAAGCCCAAGGTGCACACACCACAGTGCAGATGCTCCAAGCTTTGTCCTGTACGGTTTAGGGACATGCACCACTGCCATGCATCCGAACACTCTAAGCATGTCCACTGGAGGCTTCTTTCCAAGCCACCTCTCCAGCGGCACCCACATATCATCAGCCACCTTTGTGAGTACGCGGTTCCTTGCCACTGTAGCAAGCCTCACCGCATGAGGCCACATGGAGTTCCCCAGCCCTGATTCGATCAGCAGCGCTCGCGCAGTTTCCAGGATGGTCCTATTAGCCCTCTCAGCAACACCATTTGACTGAGGGGTATAGGATGTCGTTAGCTGATGCTCAATGCCTTGTTTCTTGAGCCACCCAGTCAGATCTCCTAGAAACTCTCCACCTCGGTTGGTTCTGATGCTCTTGCATGGGCGCCCAGATTGTCGCTCGATGAACGGCAGCCACTCATCTCGTATTGTTGAGGCAGCATGATCCTTCTGCTTCAATGGGTATGCCCACATCAGCCGACTCCAGTCATCAACTATTGTCAGGAAAAACCTTCAACAGGTATGCCCACATCAGCCGACTCCAGTCATCAATGATGCGAACAGACAACCGAATGATGTGCAAACGAATATGCACCAACAAAGGAACCTCCAAGGATGACGGAGGAATGGGAAATGAGGAGAGGGACGCTGGACAGTTCTACCATGTGTATGACGAAGGCGATTGTGACACAGCTGTTGCAAAGGCTGGGGAGGAACTGCACCCGCTTGACATGTAGGTCATGGACTCTGGTGCTGCATGGACAATGACACCATGTAAGGACTTGCTGGATGATGTCCGAGCACCTCTAATCTCCGAAGTGCGCTCAGCATCTGGACATGCAGTGAAGGTCGCTGGAGCAGATCGAGCTGCGTTCAGAGCACCTAATGGTGGACTGGTTGTGCTGAAGGATGTGTTACTCATATCGGGGCTGAAGGCCAATCTGATATCGCTGCGCAAGCTAGGTCAGGCCGGAGTCAGCACAACCACCAATGGATCCAAAACATTCAAGGGGTTGCGAGGAGTGTTGGTGCAACCCTATGGCTTGCACTCGGCTTGTCGTCCTTGTTTGTGTGTGTGCATGCATGGCATGGAATGAATTGTGAGTCTATGTCATTGCTATCCAGTGCTTGTGTGTGTGTTTGAATGGTGTATCACTATGTGGTTTGTGTCGGTCAAGACATTAGCGAGTTTCTACAACTCGCACGTCAAGTCGTCGTTTGTGTGTCGCATGTGTTTTTTCTATTTTGTCGAGTGTGAAGTGTCCATCGTGTCGCAGGTGTGTGCAGCAAGCCCCCATCAACTCAAGAAGAATTTATCTTGCAGATCCAAGACCAAGAGCTCAAGATGTCAAGCCCAAGGGACGCGGATAAATATTAAATAGTGAAAATAGTAACGTTACTTCGTGTAGTGTTACATTTCAGTTGGTGTAGCCCCTTGGAGGGTTGGTTTCGAGACTCTTCATGGTTGGGGACTCTGTGGTGGTGTACCACCAACCTGGACCTCGGCTCTTGGGGTATGTAGAGGCTGAGAACCATCTCCCTCTCGAACTCTTCTTGCTAAGTTTGTACTCCTAAGACTATAGTGGCTGTTTTACCTTCTGCCAGTCAAACCGCCATAGCGTCGTCAAATCTTCATCAAATTTCATGATTCAACTTGCTGCTGATAGACGACATCAACACGCTCCATATCCATTTTACAGATCACCGTTTGATTCAGTGACCAGATCGTTATCTATATTTGAAGCCGTCTGACAGAAATCCGACTGTGCTCTCTATCTCTCATTATAGGCACATCTAAGCCTATTGTGATTATAACAAGGAGATTGTGTGTTATGGGATTTACACGAAAGCAGAGATGTTGTCAGATCCATGTGGCAGATCCCTGCGTTGATATGGGATCTAACAAAGAAGGACATGGGAGCAGTAAAGGCTCTGGAGTCCAGGGGGAGTGCAACGCAGTAAGTGCTGCAGGAGTAATGGTTTCTGGAAGGTCGGGGGAGACTGATTGGGAAACCGCACACAGGCGTCTAGGGCATGTGGCTATGCCATTGCTCCAGCAACTGCATAAGGAAGAAGCAGTAAAGGGGCTGAAGCTGTTTGGGCAACCAAATAATACCAAGTGCGAGACGTGTCTGCTGAGCAAGTTCACATGGTTCCCCTTTCACGGCGTAGCTGGGAAAAGCAAGAAAGCACTAGAACTGGTGCAAATGGACCTGGTAGGACCATTTCCAGTTCGAGGAAGTAAGGGGGAAAAGGTACTTCCTGACAATAGTTGATGACTGGAGTCGGCTGATGTGGGCATACCCGTTGAAGCAGAAGGATCATGCTGCCTCAACAATACAAGATGAGTGGCTGCCGTTCATCGAGCGACAATCTGGGCGCCCATGCAAGAGCATCAGAACCAACTGAGGTGGAGAGTTTCTAGGAGGAGATCTGACTGGGTGGCTCAAGAAACAAGGCATTGAGCATCAGCTAACGACGTCCTTTACCCCTCACTCAAATGGCGTTGCTGAGAGGGCTAATAGGACCATCCTGGAAACTGCGCGAGCGCTGCTGATCGAATCAGGGCTAGGGAACTCCATATAGCCTCATGCGGTGAGGCATGCTACAGCGGCAAGGAACTGCGTACTCACAAAGGTGGCTGATGAGATGTGGGTGCCGTTGGAGAGGTGGCTTGGAAAGAAGCCTCCAGTGGACATGCTGAGAGTTTTCGGATGCATGGCAGTGGCGCATGTCCGTAAACCGTACAGGACAAACCTTGGAGCATCTACATTGTGGTGTGTACACCTTGGGCTTGCGGCAAAGAGCAAGGGGTGCCTACTCTGGGAGCCCTCAAAGAAAGTGCTATTTGACAGTTCGATGTCAAATTTGTGAAGAACATCATGTGTGGAAAGTGGGAGAAGCAGCCGGACGCAAGGGTGTCCCAGCAGCTGGAACAAATCACTATGCACTTTGACTTGTCCGAAACACTTGACAGCGAAGTCACTGCGCCAATGGCAAGCGGTACAGAAGAAGGAAGCAATAACTGTTGGTGCATATTCGTTTGCACGTCATCCTGTCGTCTGTTCGCATCATTTCGTTGCATGTGTTTTGTGTGCTACGTTGTTTGTGTGGTTTGTTGGGTTTGCATGTCTTTGCATATTCATCTTGTGCTTGTGCAGATGTGCTTGGATTGTACATCAGATCGAGCGCATTCCAACGAGCCAAGAATTGTTGGAATCGGAGCACATATGAAGAAGTTACGAAGAAATGTTTGATGGATTTGTTACAACTCATTGGAAGTCCTTGGCAGCTGCTACACCAAAGTTGGAGAGCCCTAAAACGAGGAGGGACCAGCATGTGTGGGACTTTTGTCCCCACCTTGCAGCTGCAGCACTTGGGGTTTGGAGACCAACCTGGCACAGTGTGAATTTTGTCTTGCCAGGCTGGCTGAACCTGATGATGGGGAGTCAAGACTTTGACTCTTGTCATGTTCTTGACCAAGGGCCTCCAGGGTCCTTCCCTTTCATCCTTCCCTTCCCACCCCACCTTCCAACTATGCTTCAATGCCTTTTCCATCATGTCCCTGAACTTGTAAGCTTCTATCATAGTGACTCTGAGGATTGTCAACTTCTCCTAGGGCAGATTACCCCCCAATGCGCCAAACGCCATAGCTCACTCGATAAGCTACGGAATTGAGTGATTCAACTTTCAGTGGAAAGCTGACGCTGCAAGCTACAACATATCCGATTTTCAGATCGTTTCATCGATTGGATTTTCGGATATAGTTTTTCGAAGGTCGCGAGTTTTCTGGGCGTCATAACGAAGTGCTGCAGAAATTTCCAAGGAGCCATTGAATCATCTGCTTATAGCCTTCACTAACCAACAAGTGGTATCAGAGCCCATTATCACGCATTTGGGACCTAAATTACGATGGGAGATAAGGAGGACTCTGGTGGAGGTGATACTTCAGTCCAAGGAGGCAGCTCAACCCAAGATTCTGGCATTGCAGCGCAAAGGGGAGCGCGTACAAGCCAGGGGTCACTGCTTAAGGAGGTGCTGAAGAACTTCACCATTGAGAAGTTCTCTGGAGATGGCTATGATGATTGGGCATGGAAGATGCAGCTCTAGTTTCGACAAAGTGGCCTCTTGAAGCTCATGATTGGAACGGAGCCTAGGCCAAAGGAAATGGCAGAGCAAGCGGACTGGGATGAACGTTCATCTGCTGGGTATTATCTACTGTCACAAAGCTTGGAGCTGAACCAGAGGCATCACATCATGCATCTGCTACCGGAAACTGATTGTGAGCCCAAGGCATGGGCAGTGCTCAAGGACCTGCACGCTTCGACATCGGTTGCCGCTTCTCTCATGCTGGATCGGGAGCAATCCATGCTGCGGTTGAGCGAGAATGCACCTGTGCAGCCCGTTCTGGACAAGATGAGGGAACTCTACGCGAAATTGGCGGTTGCGGGCATCACGTACCCTGAGCAGACTAAGTGTCTCAAGATGCTCAGCCTGCTGCCCGAGTCTTGGCTGCAATTTATGAGCGGACTCAGCTTGCCACAAAACCAAAGTCAATGGACATTGGAATGGATTCGCACCAAGATTCTGGAAGAAGATTTTCGTCGCTACACACTGCGCGGAGGTGATGACAGTACCAGCGGCTATGCCATGCAAGAGACATGGAGGGATCGAGGGCGTGGCAATCGCGGTCGCTCCTACTATAACCAAGGTGGTCGCGGGACTTGGAACCAGCGGGGGCGTGGTGGCGCTGGTGCAAGAGGAAGAGGTGGTCACTCCAACAATGACAACAGTGAACCACGCTTGAGGGGAGAGTGCTGGTATTGCAAGGAAGAAGGGCATCCATGGTTTCGCTGCTCTACCAAGCCCGACTGGTGGACCCCTTGGAACGAATCGCAAAAGGGGAATGAAGGAAAGCAACCACATGGAGGTGCCAACATGGTAGCTGATCCTGCTAAAGAAACCTCCAAGGATGACAGAGGAATGGGAAATGCGGAGAGGAATGCTGGACAGTTCTACCATGTGTGTGACAAAGATGACAGTGGCACAGCTGTTGCAAGGGCTGGAGAGGAATTGCACCCGCTTGACATGTGGGTCATGGACTCTGGTGCTGCATGGACAATGACACCACGCAAGGATTTGCTGGATGCTGTGCGAGCGCCTCCAATCTCTGAAGTGCGCTCAGCATCCGGACATGCAGTGAAGGTCGCTGGAGTTGGTCGAGCTGCATTCAGAGCACCTGATGGTGGACTGGTTGTGCTGAAGGATGTGTTACTCGTACTGGGGCTGAAGGCCAATCTGATATCGCTGCGCAAGCTAGGCCAGGCCGGAGTCAACACCACCACCAATGGATCCAAAACATTCAAGGGGTTGCGAGGAGATCGTGTGTTATGGGATTTACACGAAAGCAGGGATGTCTTCAGATCCATGTGGCAGATCCCTGCGCTGATATGGGAATCAACAAAGAAGGAGCTGGGAGTAGTAAAGGCGGGATCTGGAGTCCAGGGGGAGTGCAATGCAGTAAGTGCTGCAGGAGTTATGGTTTCTACAAGGTCGGGGGAGACTGATTGGGAAACCGCACATAGGCGTCTAGGGCATGTGGCTATGCCATTGCTGCAGCAACTGCATAAGGAAGAAGCAGTAAAGGGGCTGAAGCTTTCTGGGCAACCAAATGATACCAAGTGCGAGACGTGTCTGCTGAGCAAGTTCACACGGTTCCCCTTTCACGGCGTAGCTGGGAAAAGCAAGGCAGCACTGGAACTGGTGCACATGGACCTGGTAGGACCTTTTCCAGTTCAAGGAAGAAAGGGGGAAATATACTTCCTAACAATAGTTGATGACTGGAGCCGGCTGATGTGGGCATACCCATTGAAGCAGAAGGATCATGCTGCCTCAACAATACGAGATGACTGGCTGCCGCTCGTCGAGCGACAATCTGGGCACCCATGCAAGAGCATCAGAACCGACCGAGATGGAGAGTTTCTAGGAGGAGATCTGACTGCGTGGCTCAAGAAACAAGGCATTGAGCATCAGTTAACGACGTCCTATACCCCTCAGTCAAATGGCGTTGCTGAGAGGGCTAATAGGACCATCCTGGAAACTGCGCGAGCGCTGCTGATCGAATCAGGGCTGGGGAACTCCATGTGGCCTCATGCGGTGAGGCATGCTACAGTGGCAAGGAACCGCATACTCACAAAGGTAGCTGATGATATGTGGGTGCCGCTGGAGAGGTGGCTTGGAAAGAAGCCTCCAGTGGACATGCTGAGAGTGTTCGGATGCATGGCAGTGGCGCATGTCCCTAAACCGTACAGGACAAAGCTTGGAGCATCTGCACTGTGGTGTGTGCACCTTGGGCTTGCGGCAGAGAGCAAGGGGTGGCTACTCTGGGAGCCCTCAAAGAATGTGCTGTTTGACAGTCGGGATGTCAAATTTGTGGAGAACATCATGTATGGCAAGTGGGAGAAGCAGCCGGAGGCAAGGGTCACCCAGCAGCTGGAAGAGATCACTATGCGCTTCGATTTGTCCGAACCTGAGGACAGCGAAGTTACTGCGCCAACGGCAAGCGGTACTGATGAAGGAAGCAATGAGGATATTGCAGCTGATGCTGAAGTCAAGGATCCGGAGCAGCAGCAGCAAGAGGCTTCCAAAACACCAAGTCTGCCAAAGCGAAGGAAACAGATTGGTGGGGGGACAAAGGATTGGGTGAAGGTGAAAGAATGGGTAAATCCAACCATCTACCCTGCACGTACCAGAATGGCAACAAGAAAGCTGCTGAGCTCTACAAGTGAAGGAGCCACAACTGAGCAGCAGGAACAAGCTCAAGGCGAAGATACAGTGCTGTTCTTGGGTGATGACCAAGAGTCAGATGACGAGGAGCCTGCATACTACTTTTACGCACCAATACAACCTCCGAGCATGGATCATGCGCTAGCCGGGCATCAACGGGGGAAATGGCTCGTTTCAAGAGATGCAGAGTACAACAGCCAGATGGAGAACCACACATGGGACCTGGTGTACTTGCCAAATGGGAAGAAGGCAATACAGTGCAAGTGGCTGGCAAAAATCAAGACGGATGAGAAAGGAGAGCCATCAGTTTACAAGAGCAGGCTGGTGGCAAAGGGGTTTCAACAGAAAGAGAAGGAAGATTACAAAGAAGTGTTTGCCCCAACTGCTAAGTCTCCAACGCTACGTGTGCTGCTGGCGGTAGCTGCTGTGCGCAAATGGAAGGCGAAGCAGATGGACATCGTAACCGCTTTTCTGTACGGCATTGTGGAAGAGGAGGTGTACATGGTTCAACCACCTGGCTATGAGGATGAAACCAGTCGTGTCTGCAAACTTAACAAGGCCATCTATGGCTTGAAGCAGGCCCCGAGATGCTGGTACAACAGGCAGGCCAGTGCACTGGAAGGGATTGGATTCCGTGCGAGTGCATGCGACGAGAGCCTATTCCTGATGAGCGAGGGGGAGTCGCTTGTGCTTCTGCTGGTGTACGTGGATGACATCCTGCTCTTCAGCAGCAGTGACAAGGAGATCGATGGGGTGCAGCGGAAGCTCACAGAGCAGTTCAAGTGCAAGTCACTTGGAGAGGCAAGGTACTACCTGGGAATGCACATTGAGCGGGATACTGAACGTGGCTGGCTCAAACTGCATCAGGGACAGTACATCAACACCTTGGCTGAGAAGTACTCTCTGCAGGAAGAACGGGAAGTGGTCACACCTTTGCCTTCCGAGTTCAAACTCATAAAGGCAGCTGAAGGAGAAGGAGTTGAGAGTGAAGACCAGAGGCAATTCCAATCCATGGTCGGGAGCCTACTCTACGCTGCTGTGCATACTCGGCCTGACATCAGCTTTGCTGTGGGACAGCTGGCTCGAGTAGTGCAAAATCCAACAGAAGAGCAGTGTGGTGCAGCAGAGAGAGTGGTGCGCTACCTCAAGTCATACCCTACAGTGGGAGTACAGTATTTAGCCTCTGCTCAACTCAGGCAAAAGGGAGTTGAAGTTCTCAAAGAGAAGGGGGAGCAGCTCGGAGAAGGAAAGGTGTTCCTTTCCTGCTTTGCTCATGCCACATGGTCTTCTGAGCATGAGGATTCATCATCAGTAGGTGGATACATCTGCATGGTGGGAGGTGGGCCTGTAAGTTGGAGGTCCAAAAAGCAGTCTGAGACAGCACTATCGTCAGTGGAATCTGAGTACATGGCGATGTTTCATGCAGCAAAAGAAATCATTTGGCTAAGGAGGCTCTTGAAGGAGATCGGCCATGAACAGACTTGTGCGACACCTCTGTTCAGTGACACCAAGGGAGCCATTGCCATGGCACACAATGCAGTTCTTCATGGGTTGAACAAGCACATGAGGATCAAGTGGCATTGGCTGCGGAAGGAGGTGAAGCTTGGGACACTAGATCCGATCTTCGTGAAAACTCAGCAACAGCCAGCCGACTTCCTTACCAAGCGGCTAGCTTAAGAGCCACACTGGCGCTGTGCGAGAATGGCGGGAATGTCCTTGAACTAGAGATGGCGAAACAAGCCGACAGTCTGAGGGGGAGTGTGTTGGTGCATATTCGTTTGCACGTCATCCTGTCGTCTGTTCGCATCATTTCGTTGCATGTGTTTTGTGTGCTACGTTGTTTGTGTGGTTTGTTGGGTCTGCATGTCTTTGCATATTCATCTTGTGCTTGTGCAGATGTGCTTGGATTGTACATCAGATCGAGCGCATTCCAACGAGCCAAGAATTGTTGGAATCGGAGCACATATGAAGAAGTTACGAAGAAATGTTTGATGGATTTGTTACAACTCATTGGAAGTCCTTGGCAGCTGCTACACCAAAGTTGGAGAGCCCTATAACGAGGAGGGACCAGCATGTGTGGGACTTTTGTCCCCACCTTGCAGCTGCAGCACTTGGGGTTTGGAGACCAACCTGGCACAGTGTGAATTTTGTCTTGCCAAGCTGGCTGAACCTGATGATGGGGAGTCAAGACTTTGACTCTTGTCATGTTCTTGACCAAGGGCCTCCAGGGTCCTTCCCTTTCATCCTTCCCTTCCCACCCCACCTTCCAACTATGCTTCAATGCCTTTTCCATCATGCCTCTGAACTTGTAAGCTTCAATTATAGTGACTCTGAGGACAGTCAATTTCTCCTAGGGCAGATTACCCCCCAGTGCGCCAAACGCCATAGCTCACTCATTAAGCTACGGAATCGAGTGATTCAACTTTCAGCGGAAAGCTGACGCTGCAAGCTACAATATATCCGAGTTTTAGATTGTTTCATCGATTGGAGTTTTGGATATAGCTTTTCGAAGGTCGCGAGTTTTCTGGGCGTCATAACGAAGTGCTGCAAAAATTTCCAAGGAGCCATTGAATCATCTGCTTATAGCCTTCACTAACCAACAATAACGATATTGCAGCTGACGCTGAAGTCAAAGAACCAGAGCAGCAGCAGCAAGAGGTTTCCAAAGCACCAAGTCTGCCAAAGAGGAGGAAGCAGACTCGTGGGGGGACAAAGGATTGTATTCAGGTGAAAGAATGGGTAAACCAAACCATGTACCCTGCATGTGCCAAAATGGCAATGAGAAAGATGTTGAGCTCTACAAGTGGAGGAGCCACAACTGAGCAGCAGCAACAGTCTCAAGACGAAGATGCAGTGCTGTTCTTGGATGATGACCAAGAGTCAGATGACGAGGAGCCTGCATACTGCTTTTACGCATTAATACAAACTCTTAGCATGGATCATGCGCTAGCCGGGACTCAATGGAGGAAATGGCTGGTTTCAAGAGATGCGAAGTACAATAGCCCGATGGAGAATCACACATGAGATCTGGTGTACTTGCCAATTGGGAAAAGACAATACAGTGCAAGTGGCTGGCAAGAATCAAGACGGATGAGAAAGGAGAGCCATCAGTTTACAAGAGCAGGCTGGTGGCTATGGGGTTTCAACAGAAAGAGAAGGAAGATTACAAAGAAGTGTTTGCGCCAACTGCGAAGTCTCCGACGCTACGTGTGCTGCTGGCGGTAGCTGCTGTGCGCAAATGGGAGGTGAAGCAAATGGACATCGTTACCGGTTTTCTGTACGGCATACTGGAAGAGGAGGCGTACATGGTATAACCACCTGGCTTTGAGGATGGAACCGGTCGTGTCTGCAAACTCAACAAGGCCATCTATGGCTTGAAGCAGGCACCGAGATGCTGGTACAACAGGCTGGCTAGCGCACTGGAAGGGATTGGATTCTGCATGAGTGCATGGGATGAGAGCCTATTCCTGATGGGCGAGGGGGAGTCGCTTGTGCTTCTGCTGGTGTACGTAGATGACATCTTGCTCTTCAGCAGTAGCGACAAGGACATTGATAGAGTGCAGCTGAAACTCACAAAGTAGTTCAAGTGCAAGTCACTTGGGGGGGCAAGGTACTACTCGGAAATGCACATTGAGAGGGATGCTGAACGCAGCTGGCTCAAACTGCATCAGGGACAGTACATCAATACCTTGGCTGAGAAGTACTCTCTGCAAGAAGAACGGAAACTGGCAACTCCTTTGCCTTCCGAGTTCAAAATCATTAAGGCATCTGAAGGAGAGGGAGTTGAGAGTGAAGACCAGAGGCAATTCCAATCCATGGTCGGGAGCCTACTGTACGCTGCTGTGCATACTCGCCCTGACATTAGTTTTGCTGTGGGACAGCTAGCACGAGTAGTGCAAAATCCAACAGAATAGCAGTATAGTGCAGCGGAGAGAGTGGTGCGTTACGTCAACTCATACCCTATTGTGGAAGTACAGTATTCAGACTCTGCTCAACTCAGGCAGCAAGGGGTTGAAATTCTCAAAGAGAAGGGGAAGCAGCTCGGAGAAGGAAAGGTGTTCCTTTCCTGCTTTGCTGATGCCACATGGGCTTCTGAGCATGAGGATTCATCATCAGTTGGCAGATGAATCTGCATGGAGGGAGGTGGGCCTGTAAGTTGGAGGTCCAAGAAGCAGTCTGAAACGGCACTATCTTCTGTAGAATCTGAGTACATGGCGATGTTTCATGCGGCAAATGAAATCATCTAGCTAATGAGGCTCCTGAAGGAGATCAGACATGAACAGACATGTGCGATACCTTTGTTCAGTGACAGGAAGGGAGCCATTGCTATGACATGCAATGCGGTTCTTCATGGGCTGAACAAGCACATGAGGATCAAGTGGCATTGGCTGCAGAAGGAGGTGAAGCTTGGGACACTGGATCCGATCTACGTGAAAACTCAGCAACAACCAGCCGACTTTCTTACCAAGCGGCAAGCTGAAGAGCCACATTGGCGCTGTGCGAGGATGGCGGGAATGTCCTTGAATAAGAGACTGCGAGACAAGTCGACACTCTGAGGGGGAATGTGTTGGTGGATATTTGTTTGCACGTCATCCTATCGTCTGTTCGCATCATTTCATTTGTATGTGTTTCGTGTGCTATGTTGTTTTTGTGGTTTGTTGGGTTTGCATGTCTCTGCATGTTCATCTTGTTCTTGTAGAGATGTGCTTGGATTGTGCGTGACATCGGGCACATTCCAACGAGCCGAGAATGATTGTAATCGGAGCACATATGAAGAAGTTTTGAATATACTCTTGATGGATTTGTTACAACTTATTGGAAGTCCTTGGTTGCTGCTACACCAAAGTGTTGATGCATATTCGTTTGCACATCATCTGTCGGCTGTTCGCATCATTTCGTTGCATGTGTTTTGTGTGCTACGTTGTTTGTGTGGTTTGTTGGGTTTGCATGTCTTTGCATGCTCATCTTGTGTTTGTGAAGATGTGCTTGGATTGTGCATGATATCGAGCACATTCCAACAAGCCAAGAATTGTTGGAATCGGAGCACATTTGAAGAAGTTACGAGGAAATGTTTGATGGATTTGTTACAACTCATTGGAAGTCCTTGGCAGCTGCTACACCAAAGTTGGAGAGCCCTATAACGAGGAGGGACCAGCATGTGTGGGACTTTTGTCCTCACCTTGCAGCTGCAGCATTTGGGGGTTGGAGGCCAACCTGGCACAATGTGAATTTTGTCTTGCCAGGTTGGTTGAACCTGAGGATGGGGAGTCAAGACTTTGACTCTTGTCATGTTCTTGACCATGGGCCTCCAGGGTCCTTCCCTTTCATCCTTCCCTTCCATCCCCACCTTCCAACTGTGCTTCAATGCCTTTTCTATCATGCCTTTGAACTTGTAAGCTTCAATCATAGTGATTCTGAAAACTGTCAATTTCTCCTAGGGCAGATTACCCCCCAGTGCGCCAAATGCCATAGCTCACTCGATAAGCTACGGAATCGAGTGATTAAACCTTCAGTAGAAAGCTGATGCTAAAATCTACAACATATCGGATTTTCAGATTGTTTCACTGATTTGAGTTTTGGATATAGCTTTTCGAAGTTCGTGAGTTTTCTGGGCGTCATAACGAAGTGCTGCAGAAATTTCCAAGAAGCCATTGAATCATCTGCTTATAGCCTTCTCTACATAACACAAAGTTGGAGAGCCCTACAACGAGGAGGGACCAGCATGTGTGGGACTTTTGTCTTCACCTTGCAGCTGCAGCATTTGTGGTTTGGATATCAACCTAACACAGTGAGAATTTTGTGTTGCCAGGCTGGTTGAACCTGAGGATGGGGAGTCAAGACTTTGGCTCTTGTCATGTTCTTGACCAAGGGCCTCTAGGGTCCTTCCCTTTCATCATTTCCTTCCTTCCCCATCTTCCAAGTATGCTTCAATGTTTCCATTGTGTCTGTTAACTTGTAAGCTTCAATGGATGTGACTCGGAGGACTGTCAATTTCTCCTAAGGTAGATTACCCCCTAGTGCGCCAAATGCCATAGCTTACTTGCTAGACTACGGAATCGAGTGATTCAACTTTCATTGGAAATCTGACGTTTCATGCTACAACATATCGGATTTGCATGTTATTTTATCTATTGGATTTTCGGATATAGCTTTCCGAAGGTCGCGAGTTTTCTGGGCGTCATAATGAAGTGATGCATAAATTTCGAAGGAGCCGTTGAATCATCTGCTAATAGCCTTCTCTCACCAATAGAGGGGAGATAAGCAACCCCTTAGAAGAGTGACCTACTAAGGAGCACAGTTTAATTCCTTGGGCGAATTTAAATGCAAGAACCGATAGCGGGAACTAAGTGTGCAAAATTTCAAGGATTCAGCAGCTGCAAACAGATCGTCATTTAAAGATCTACGCTTGGAGTTGCACTCCATAAACTGAGGGGTTGGCTCTATCGACATCGCTCCGGGCGACACCGAGACAACCACTGCAGTCGTCGTGGTTCTTGTCATTTCCAACATTGCCGCTGTTGCCATCACCATTGACGCAGTTGTCAGCACACTGCCGCCATCTCTGCCGTCTCTATCGCCACCGCCGTCGCTGACATCACTGCCACCGATGCTGACGGTAGACATGGTGCAGGATAAGGGTGGCGAGAAATAGGAGACTGCACCAAAGCTTGATGGGGATGATTATTGGGCCTGGTGCTTCCGGTTCGAGCAATGGGTAGAGGCACATAACATTTGGGGATTCTACCCCATCGATTCGAGATGCTCAAGGTGATCCTTGGCGACCGATCACCTTCAGTCTCCAAAGGACCAGCTCCTGACCTCACTGAGAAGTGAGGAGATGTGGCTTGGTGCAGTGCCAACAAATGATGGTGCCGCCATATTTGGAGCAGCTACATGCGTAAGGGGAAACGATAGAGGCAATAAAAACAGGGGAGAGAAACAAAGGAGCGGTTGCAAGAATTGTGGTATTGGTTACAGTATTCGTATAAATGGCTGTGTTTATATCCGTGTGTACGGTACGTATGAACCAGGGCTCTCGCTAGGCCTTTTTCAGTTTTTCTGCGATCAGACGGTCCCTTGGGCCCATCTGAGCATTAGTTGGGCTGATTTTATAATACTTTGTAGACCGATTTGTTAGAAATAGACAGCAAATACCACTTTTGTATTTGTACTTTTCTATCCTAGTTTCGGTTATGAATGTTCTAGTGGGTTGGGGTGTACTCACAAATCCCAACCTCACCCAATTGTGATCCCCCCAATCTCCAGTTACCCAATTGGAGATTCCGGAGATCCCAATGGGGATTCCCTCCAATTCCTCCTTCATCCAT